CGCTGGCTGGGGCTGCCTCACAGGGAAGGACGCTGTGCTCAGTGCACACCCCCACCATCCCCGCTGTCCCATGAGCAGCGGCTCAAGGACTGCCCTGTGCTCAGAGGTCGTTGGGAGAATGCAGCTCCCGGACTCCAGGGACAGGCTGACTGGTTTTTATTGCTTTTGTACAAATTACGACCGCTCAGAAGTAGCCCGAGGAGCAGGGTAATGGATGTTGTAAACCTGCCTCGTAAAGACAGAGCCTGCTTCCGGGCCTGTCAGGAGCAGCTTCCCGGGGAGCAAGCGGGCCTCAGGACGGCTTGGGACACCCCGGGCACCTCCCCGCCAGCTCGCCAAAGAGTCCATTTGGCCCGGGTGCACGTCTGCCACCCCTCACTGGGACGCAGGCCCACCCCATCGTTAACCACCCATCTTTGGCCCGGCTCAGGGGGCAAAGCTGGCCAGGGGCCTGCATTACCCATCCAGTGACCTTGAGCTCCGGCCCCGGTCCCCAGGGGGCCTCCTACTTTGCCCCTCCAAGCACAGGGCCCACCCCGACTCAGCACCCAGACGGCACGGCCAAGGCTGGGAAACCAAGCGCAGAGCCAGGAGCTACAACCACCCTCCCCAGAGGAAGTGGTGGCCCGAGGCCACGCGGGGACCCCAGGTGTGTGCTGAGTCACGCACACGTGGTCCTGGGCGGCGGCGGCGGCGGCCACTGTTTTGGCTGGAGCTCAGCTCAGCCACGTTCACCGCAGCAGCCACGCAGGGCCTGGCCCGCCGCAGGCACTCGCCAACTGCTCGCTGCGTGCGTTAGCTGCCGCGTGCACAAGCACGCCTGTCTTCGCCGGCGCAAACCCGCTGTGGGGAAGGAGAGGCCGGGTCAGATCAGCCTGTGTCCCCTCAAAGCGTGGGGGCCCTCCTGCTGAGAAAAGGGGCCTCAGTCCTGCCCCTGGAGTCCGAGTGGCTCTGGTGACGAGAGGGGGTGTGGAAGCCACACCACCAATACTGCCTCCTCCTGGCTCTTGCTCTTGGGACCCTGCTAATGCGCCCTAATGCTGCGAGAGCCACACGGGCAAGCCCACATCAGGGGAGCTGAGCCCCAGGCAGGGGAGTGGTCTCCCCTCCAGGCTTCCTCTGCAACTGAGAAGCACCAGCACAGCGCCAGCTGGGGCCCTGCTGGGTGCTTTTGGGTCTGCCCTGCTGCCCAGGCACTGAGGTGAGGGGCGGCCTGGGCACACCTCAGCCTCCCTCCGTGGCCCCGTGGCAGGTGCTGTCTGGGCCGGGGCAGGAGGTGCTAAGAAATTAGTGGTCTGTAGCCCAACCAAAATCTTAAAATCAATTTCCAGAAATCCCCCAAAGCCAATCAGGCCGATTGGCCAACTACCCTCTGTGTGCGGGGCTACTGCCCTGGCAGGCCTGGCAGGCGGGGCCCCACTCAACCCGGATAGCCAGTGGCACCTGCCCTTCTGCCCCTGGCCGGAGCCCGGCTCTCCCACACACGCCCCCCCGCCTCCCCGCTGCCTGGCCCGCAGGGGAGGCAGACGCCCCTTCCTCCCCATCCTGCCCAGCCCCGTTGGGAACACCAACTGAGTCAAATTAGAGCGTCAGCTGGACCCCACTCGCTGCCCCTCCCACCCTCACCTCCCTGGCGGTGCTGGTGTCGCTGCTGTCACTGGCGCGGTGGGGAAGCCTCCCCTGCGGCACCATGTACACCCTCCTACGGCCTTTGCACCGGTGTGCTCCCCGCCTCCACCGAGTGTTTATTTGCTCTATTCTCTATCTTCTCCGTGGCACCGTGAGGCCCGTGGGGCAGGGACGTTGGCCATTCGGTTCCTTCCCAGCCCGTGACGGGTGCAGAACAGACACTGAGCGCTTGTTGAGTGGAGACAATGCTCAAGCACTTGTGGGCTGAGAAGGGCCCCAAGGAGGGCAGAACCGGTTTGAGAGCACCTGTGGGCGAGGGGCGGGGCCCACGGGCGAGGGGCGGGGCAAGGAGCCTGGAAGGCGGCTCCCTCTCGGTGGTGACCAGAGCAGGACTGGCCTGGCCGCTCTGCTCAAGATCTCAGAGACTTGGCCCCTCAGTGGGTGCCTGGGGTGGGCTCTCTGAGCCCCGAGCCTCACTGTCCCCCCCTGGAGGTTGGGGGGTGGTCATCGCTATGGTAACAATGTCTACCGTGGAGACCTGAGACCTGCCTGGCTCATCGCAAGTGGTCACCAGCAACATCACTGTTGGGGCTCTGCGTTGTGTCCGTCCCCAGCCCCTCGACCCCCATACCTCTGTGAGCACAGGGCCCTTCCAGAACACTCCAAGCACTGAGCATGGCACTCACTTGGGATGCAGAGGGCGGGGCCAGCTTCCCGACCTCAGTAGCCATCTAGACCCTCATTTCTCTCTAATAAAGGAAACCCCAACTCCCTGCTTGGGAGGGAGATGGATCGTCACGTCCTCAGTTGCAAGCAGCCAAATGGAGATTCCTTTCCAATGAATTTCATGGCATTAAGGAGCATCTATCTGATGGTGTGCTGGGGAGGCTGCGCCAAGCTTTCAGGACAGAGGCTGTTGAGGATGAGCAATAATTGGGGACTTGCTGGGGATAAGCCTCATAGAATTAGCCCCTTTAAGTCCAGTCTATAAAGCACCTAGTGCAGGGACGCTGTCAGGGACAGGCAAAGACGGTGAGGCCCCAACTGCAGACGCACCCAAGCAGCAGGGACTACGGGTCACACACAGGACGTGTGGCCCGCCTGCAGGCAGCACACACAAACAAGACGCACCTGTGCCGTGCCCAGCCCTGACACACCCGACACGTCCAAAGACACACAGGCACCGCCTACCGAGAAGCGTGGGACACCCCCAGGTGCTGGTGTGCTCAGCCCCGCCGCAGCCACACGAAGACACCACCTCACAGACACGTGTCAACACACAGGGGGACATGGCACACACTCTCCTCTCACTGAGAGAGAGCCACACGGGGCTGCTCACAGGGCAGGGCACGCAGAAGCCACACGACCTACCCACTGGATGCCACGACATGCCCGCACACGCACACACCCAAGCTCTAGTGTGCAGGGTCCCATGGTGATGCCTGGATCTAGAGGCAGGGTCGCAAGCTCCCCTGCCCCGTCCAGCTGGCCCAGCCCTCACACCCCTGGCGGGCAGTGCCAGGACCACAGACAGCCCCGAGGGCCAGGTGCCCACAGAGATCTGGGTGCTGAGCTCACCCTGCTTTCCAGGACTGGGGCTGGCCCGCCCACCTAACCCCACTCTGCCTGCTCCCACTGGACAAGGCTCACCTGGGCCGGTTCCAGCTCCCCAGGGCCAGAGGCACCTCTGCTTCGGGAGGGCAGGGCTGACCACCCACACCCCGCAGTGCCCACCGGCACATGCCAGGGACCGGCACACACACCCACTCTTGCCAGGGCCACACATGTGCACATGCCAGGGCCTGGCGTGCGCACGGCCCCAGCAGCAGGCGGGGCCTGTCCCTGCCACCACCTGTCACTCCTGTAGCGCAGCCGTGCGGGGTTAAGTTGCAAGCAGCCGGCACATTAATTATGGGTTCTTCTCCAAGAAGCATTCAAAACCGCTCTTTGGGGAGAAGACTGTCAATGACGCATGCACGCAGTCTGGGAGCAGAAGGGCCGCCCAGGGGGCGGAAGGGAGACCCCAGGTGCCCGGGAGGTGGGGGGACTTGGACACAGGAGGAGGCTCCAAATGGGGCGTGCCTGGGCCTGGCCCCTCTGGGACCAGCACACATCCCTCACCTCGCCCACTGGTGGTGGTTCTGGCCCCTCACTCCCCCTGATCCCGACCCGCGCCACACAGCACGTTACTGCCAGCCACTCCCATACCACAGGCCCGCCAGCCCTGTCCCTAGCTGGAGCCCAGTGCCTGCACAGCTCCTGGCCAGGGCGGCCCTCACTCAGCATGGTCACCTCCAGGAGTGGCTGGGATATGGGGACTGCCCAGGCCTGTGGGAAGAGGAGGCTGTCATCCGTGGCTGTGACCGGGGACAAGTGTGTTACGGCTGCCTAAGGAGGGTTCCCCCAGAGAGATGCCTCTCCGGTGTCTGGATGTGGCCACTACCCAGGAGCGTACAGCCGTCACGTGCAAAGCTGGAAAGACCACACCTGACCCGGGTCAGAACCCAAAGGCACAGCTGCCCGGGGTTGGCAGACCCTGAGTTGGGGCGGCTGGGGGTCAGGGGGAGGGCCGGGGGCAAGGTGTCCCTGCCACACAGAGTCAGCAGGTTGATTACACACCCTATAAAAAGCCCCTGTGACTCATGGAACCGGCCCAGCAGGCCCTGGAACTCTGAAACTCGCAGTAAATCAGGGGCTGCAGCGATGAGGCGGGCGGAGCCCCGGCCCCGCCCTCCAGTGAGCCCAAATGGCCAGCTGTAAATCTGCAGAAATGGCTTTTACGGAGCTCTGGGTTTTATGGTGTCATTAACGTTCCTCCTAATACTTAAGGGGAAACGAAATGAAGTCGTGTGAACTGGGTAGGGGCTGCTCCCCCGGGCCAGGGCAGGGCCAGGGCAGGGCCGGGGCAGGGAGGCAGTCCCCACACAGCTGGAGCCATTGGCCAAGGCCAGCCGCCTCCTGCCCTGGGTCCTGGAAGGGAGCTAGTGCCAGAGGCCGCGTGCCAGCGTGGCTGTGGTGCGGCGTCAAGTCCCCGGGGTGGGGGATGGGGGGCAGTCACTCAGGGCCCAGGGCCCTTCACTCCGACTGCTTCCTGGCAGGCCCCCAGAGGCAGTGTCTCCCCCACCCCTACTCCCCGAGGAGGTCTCTCCAGGGCAAGCCCCTAAGTGGGTCTGAGGTTCCCTCCCCATCTTGCCAGCTCTGGCCCCACCCCAGCCCTGCATCAAGTTCCCTCCAGCCCCAGTGCAGGGCCAGGGCCACCCTGAGGTCTCCAGCCCCGCGGCAGGGGGTGGAAAAGCGTTCAGGAGGGTTGGGGGTTCCAGGGAGATGGGGCATGCAGGGCACAGACGGCAGAGGAGAGGCGACCAACTTACCGAGTAGCCCCTGCCGGAGACGGCCTGCGCAGAGCTCTGTGGGGAAGGAAGGACAGTCAGTGGGAGGGTCCGGGCCCCCAACCACGGCCCCTCCTGAAGACCACTCCCTTGGCCCAGGACCTGAGCCTTCAGAGTCCCTGTCCCTGGGTGCAGATGCTGTGGCTCCAAGCTGCAGGGGAGGGTGGAGCAGAGCGTCACGGAGCCCCAGGAGCCCTGTGTCGGCGCCTGAGCCCCCAAACCCTCCTCCAGAGTCTCCATGTGCCCCCAGTGATGCGCTCAGCCCTCGGGCACAGGTCAGCTCCTCCCAGAGGGCCAGCACCGCCCACCCCCCCAGCTCCCTTCACAGGTGGTAACCTCAGGAATGCGGGGCAGGCAGGCCCCTCCCAGGCCCCCCCCCCCCCCCCCCCCCCCCCCCCGCCGTCTGCAGCCCCCAACCCTGTGCCCAGGCTGGCCTGCCCCTTACCACCCCCCAGCCTCCCAGGGTCCTGGAAAGGGAGCCACACCAGTAGCCTCAGGGTCACGGAAGTGACTGTGACTGTGGCCTGGAGGCCAGTGGCCACCCAGAGAGGTCCCCAAGGGTGACCCCAACAGCACTTGACGGAGCATGTTCCACGACTACACAGGCTGGCAGGATGGGAGCCAGGGCACAGGAGAGGGCGGGCCTGGAGGGCGTGGGTGGGGGGCGGTGTGGGGGGCACGTGCGCAGGGGGCCAGGCAGGCTTGGAACCTGCACACAGGGGGCCGGGGTCTGGCTGCAGATTCCCCGGGGAGGGCAGGTGACCACGGGGGAAGTGAGGTCCCCCGTACTGCAGCCCGGCCTACTCTGCTTTGCACAAAGCAGCCCAACCAGCCTCGGCTGGGGCTCTGGGACCCGGCTCTTGCCAGGTCCTGGGGGAGGGCCACCCCTGAGCCCCTCTAATGGGGGCGGGCAGGGTGCTGTGACTGTCCTGAGCACGGCTGTCTGTCCCTGCTGTGCTCAGAAAGCATCTTCGCTGGTTCCGCTGGCAATTAGAGTCTGAAGTAGGGCAGCCCCGGGCCCCAGACAATTACCAGCCTATTTTCCCATCTTGCGGCGACATGCTCCTCGGAGCTGGGCAATTAGGCCTTCCTCCTGGCCTCCCCCTGCGGGCCGAGCCCCCGCCCCCGCCCCTAGTGAGATGATAATGAGAGACGCGCACTCCATTCAGTCACCCAGAAACCAGGCCCTTGCCGCCCTGCATCTGCAGCTGAGGGTCTAGGAAGACAAAGGCCTCTGGCTGGGGGGGTGGGGGTTTCCTCTGGGAGCCCCGTCCCCCTGTTCCCAACCTAGTTCCCACCGTGCCCACCCACCCACTCTTCCAGGTGGCTGTGGCCAGGGAGACCCAGGGGGGTGCCCAGCACCCCTACTGTCTGCCAAGTCCCAAGTGCAACCTCTGCATGTGGCCGAGGTCGCCCCATTCTATGCTTGAGGCTGAGGCTCAGGACCTGAATTCCGGGACGCTGTCTGTCCCCAGCGAGGCCAGTGTGTGCGTCAGCAGGGCACCTTGCTCCCAGGGGCCCGAGGGGGCCTCCCACTGCTGTCCCGGGACAGGCGGCCCCCCTACCCCCCACCTGCCCAACAGCACCCTGGGGAGAGGGCGGCCCCCCACCGGATGAGGGCCTCCCCTGTGGCTCCTGCTGGGGCCTAATCGGTGTTCCTCATTTAAACTCCTCCTAGTGGGGAAGTCCTAATTAGTGAGAAATCATGTTTTAATGAAGGCAAAATGCTAATTGCAAATGCAAAGCCCTCGTGTGAGCCTCTCCGTCCTGAGCACGCAGCTTGCAGCGTCTGCTGAAGGTGGGGGGCACCCGAGAGACTCGGGAACGTGCAGCTGAGCAAGCAAGCGGCTGGGGCACTCACGTCACTGAGCTGGTCCCGAGAACTGCTCCTCCGGGAGCTGGTGGCTTCGTGGAAGCTGTCATCCCCACTGTGGCGGTCGCCCCCTCTGGACGCTGTGGCCTTCATCTGGGGATAGGGAGAGGCAGGCTCAGCACACACAGACCCAACCCCTCTGCCTGTGGGCTCCTCCCCCCTGCCCTGCCCTGCTCACCCACACAGGGCCCGGGCCACGACCCCGGGCGAGGGCAGCGGGGACAGAGCTAACCATTTACCATTCAGAATGGATAGAAACTCCCAGAAGGGCAAACGGCACACAATGCCATAATGTCAGCCCTGTCCTTCCTGGAACCCGAGGGCCATCCCCCGGCCCTTCCCCATCTCACTACACCACGGAGCTGGTCACCGGCCTCCAAGACAGGCTGGTGGCTGCTCACCCACCCTCGCTGCGCCTGCACCCACCACCAGGGTCCCAGGGCACCACCAGCTGGGTGTGCGCGGGCCACTCCCCACGGTGTGACCCAGGGCCGGGCTAGACCTCTCTGGGCCTCTGCTCTACATCCACACAACAGGGCAGACAGCCCAGCATCCCCGAGGCCTGCGCTGCTCAGCTCTCTGCTTCTCACACAGAAGCCCCGATGAGACGTTTGTGCCCACTTCACAGAAGACCAAACCAAGCCCAGAGACGTTAGGCGGACCCAGAATTCTCACTCCTATTTTTTCACTGGGAAATAATGTCAGACCTCACAGAGCTGTGGGGAATGCACACATCACAGCCCTGACCCTGACCTACAGCCCCGGACGACCTGGCCCAGCTTTCCTGGGCTTCTGACTGCCCTCTCAGCCTCCCTGACTCACCAACTGGGGTCTGTCGTTCCCCCACCCCCACCCCTGCAGCCTCCCCGTTCTGGAACACGTGTGTCCCCGTCAGTGTGCCAGGCACACACTGACCTACTCGCACCTCGTCTGCATGCCCGCTGTCTCCTCGGTGACTCAGGTGGTGGTTCTCGGCCATCCAGCGGACCCTCCCCCGGTGCTGCTCAAGACCCCATGGGACAGTGTGGGGACCCCGCGGGCCGTGTGAATGTCCTGTCCTCCTCTTCGCCCCCAGGCCTCCCAGCCCAGTGCTGGTGCCCTCAAGCAGGGCAGCCCTGGAGAGCCGCCTCGCGACCAGGCTCAGGGGGCCCTGGCGAGGACCCAGAGCCTGCAGCCGGCCCTGTACAGCCAGCGCTTCCGTCCCAGGCACCCTCCAGCCTAGAGACCCCGACTGGGCCAAAGGTCGGGACGGGTCAGCACGGTGCACTGGCCGTGCTCTGGAATACTCCTGAGTCTCAGGGAAGCACCCTCGGGGCCTGGGCACCCCCTCCTGCTTACTCCACGCCAGGCTCAGCCCCTCTCAAGGCTTCTCCTCAGAGTCCAGCTCCCACGACGGGGGGTACAGCCCCCAAAAGCCACAGGCCCCACGCTGTCAGCCAGCAGAGTGTAAATGACAAGACTGAACCAGTATCCACGATCCACAGCCCAGGGCCCAGGGGATGCCCAGCTTGGGCAGCGCCCTCCCGCCCGCCTACCTCGAGGCAGGCTGAGGGTGGGGTCCTGGTCCCACCCCAGGCAGGAGCCCCCACCTCCCCTGCTCAGCTGAGCAGTGAATGTACAGACCCTGGGCCAGGATGACTTCTTCTGACTGTCCGCGAGCCTCAGTTTCCTCACCTGTGAAATGGGGATGCCAACCGAGTCCCTCACATGTGTGGGGGTGGGGTTGTGGAGAGTCTGTCAGCCTGAGCCCAGGGCCAGCCCTGAGAAGCCACTAGGTGTCACTATTGCCACCTGCAGGGCTCTGACTGCCCTGGACCCCAGGACAGATGGGGACCCTCCTTTCTGCCTTGCTCAGGGGAGCCTCTCTCTAAGAAGCCCAGGACTGTGGTCCAGTGCTTCTCAAAGTGGGGTCCCTGGGCCACCTGGGAACTTGTCAGGAACGCAAATACACAGTTCCAGGTCCCAGCCCAGACTTACTGAATCTGAAACCCAAACTGTGTGTCATCAGGCCCCCTGGGAGATTCTAGTGTGGCTCCAGCAGAGACTCACAGATCTGATCATTAGCAATGACCCCCATGAGCCCCACACTCAATGCTGGGAGACAGCAGTTCAGGTTAGCTCGGGTCAGAGTCTCTGCCCCAGAAGAGAAGCGCTGAACCCAAAGACACTACAAGAACAAGAAAGGACCAGTGCAGGGCTGCCATGTACAGTTGTGAAGGCTGTTCACTGCATAAGTACACCTGGTTAGAGGAGAAGGAAGGCCTACATCACAATCCATACACAGCTGAAATTTGAGGAGGAAGGATCCTGAATTGCACTTCACACACTCAAACAGGCTGTCTCCTCTGAGCTGGGCCCCAGAAAGGGTACCTCAACCAGACTCCCCAGTGATACCCTTCAGGAGGGGCAGGCTGGGTCTGTCACCCTTCCTCAGGTGGGCAGTTTTAGCTCTGAAAGCCCCATTTCCTAGAAAATCCTGTAAAACTGAGTCCTACATCCTGGGAACCACCCCAATCCCAGACATAGTGGGATGGCTGGTCACCTACTTGTGTCCCCAGGTCAGGACCCCAAACAGCCCAAGCCCCAGGGCTGTCCTGTAGCCCAGTCTGCTTCCCTAGCTGCTCAGAAATGCTGCTGGCCAAAAATACTAGGGGGTCAGGGTTGGCACACCTGTTTCCAGCTGGAGCTGGAAAGATGAGATCAGAGTCCTTGGGCCTTCAAGTCCACGTCCAGGGCCAGAGGGTGCCCTGATTGCCCTGGGAGAGTAGGTGGGAGCCCCTGTGCCTGTGCCCACCACTGGGCTTGTGGTCCATCCACCCATCCACCCATGCATCTATCCACCCATCCACCCATCCACCCATCTACCCATCCATCCATCCATCTATCCACCCATCCACTCATCCATCCACCCATCCATCCACCCATCCATCCACCCATCCACCCACCCATCCACCCATCCACTCATCCATCCACTCATCCATCCACCCATCCATCCATCCACCCATCCATCCACCCANCTTGCAAAACTCTGTGACACTCACACCCCACTAGGCTCCCGTCTTCAAGGCCGCATTTGTGTGGACGCAGCTGGCAAAAATTCGTCTCCCCCACCCCCACCCCCAGCCATGCAAGGCTCCAGGCCTCAAATAGACACTGGGAGACAGGGAGGGAGCCATACACTTGGCCTTTCAGGGCAGGTTTTAATCGTTTGCAATACCTTCCCCAATCCTCTCCATCAAGTCCAGTGGCTCTTTTTATACATGGTAAATGTTTCCATTTATTCGCATCTCAGTGTGCACAGCACATACATCAGAACGTGGGTCGGCACCTGTATAAAACTACAGACAGATTCTGGAAAACACCGGTAAATACAGAAACCTTAAACCCTATCACAGCAATAGAAACACCTTGTAATATTTCAAAGGTCCAGTTAAGTCGCTCTCCGTGTCACACGTGGGTCCTTGCTGAAGACACGCAAGTGCTCAGGGACGGCCACGCTCTCAATTCCTGAGACATCTCAATTCCTGACGATCTGACTGAGCTCGGAGACGAGACTCCGTGCCATAATTCAAGGCACATAAGACTTAGATGTGAGACCTTTAAGTCCAGAACGTCCACCCACCCCTCCCCCCACCCACCCATCCATCCACCCACCCTTCCACCCACCCATCCACCCACCCACCCGTCCACCCACCCGTCCACCCACCCACCCATCCACTCATCCATCCATCTACCCATCTATCCATCCATCCCCCACCCATCCACCAATGCACCCATACATCCACCTGTCCACATACTCATCCATTCATCTACCCATTGATCCACTTATCCATCCACTCATCCATCCACCCATCCACCCATCCATCCGTCCCCTCATCCACCCACCTGTCCACCCCCCCCCGCCCCCAATGCTAACTGGATGCCTAGGAGCTGGCTCTGTCTTGGGCAGTGAACATAACAGGCACCCCCCAGCCTCCTGAGGCCGACAAAGAAGAGACTGGCACATGGTTGGCAAACAGCCACAAGTACCAAGAGAACAGCAGAGAAAAAGCACCGGGCAGCCAGGGAGGCTTCACTGAGAAGGTGACACCTCCGGAAGGCGTGGAGGTGAGTCAGAGGCTGATAGGAAGACTATGGGATGCGCCCCAGAAGCAGATGGGCCCCCTGGGGCAGGGGGAGCCCTCACACGGAGCACCCCTAGCTTCTGTGGTGTAAACACCCCATGGCTGCCTTCAGCTGCCAAGAGTCTGAAACCCAGCTTGCAAATCCCTCTAACCGTCTGCTCTTACCCAGCGGTGCCACCAGAGCATCCCCTTCAAGCTGAGGGATTCATAGGAAGAAGGCACTGCCCTCCACCTGGCAGGTCAGGTCATGGCTCTCAGAAGGGTGAGAAGATGACAACCCCGTTACGCTAGCATGCCTGGGTCACTGCCGTCGGACTAGTGGGGTGGGGGACTCCGCTCTCAGGCTGGGGCACACCAGGAGCTCTTGGGGTCCCAAGCTTCCTGGCAGTAGCAACAAGGTCACGGCAACTCACCCGTGAAAAACCCCCTTCCAAGACACCTCCTAGGCTGCCACCCCATCTTGTGCCCCTCCCCCAAGCCGTTTGCCTCCCTTGACTTCTCCCTGACAGGGTCCCCAGCCTGCTCCACGGCACACCCCATGAGGAAGTGTCTGCCGCCTGGGCCGGCTGCAGACGGGCAGCATGTGGCTCCACTTGGCCATCAGGCCATGGGACTGTGGGGTGTTAGGGGTGAGGGGGGTGGGTGCCCAGTCCAGAGGGTGCTGCTGAGAAAGGGCCCAAGGAACAGGACTCAGTGGTGCCACAGGGAGACAGGAGACTGCCCACGGCTGGTGTGCCCCTCAGTCCCTGGACCTCACTGTCCCAGGCCAGGGCTGCAGACCCACGGCTGTGCCCAGGAAGCCCCCTCGAGTGTCCCCAGGTCTGGCTGTCCCTCTGGGTCCCCCACCACTTGTTCTTCTCACCTGCAACAGGCACCCACTTCCCTGAGGCTCAGTGGGGGGCCCCGACTCCCGAGAACCTGCAGCCCTGGGCGCCGGTCACGTAATCTCTGTGTTCCGTTCAGTGCGCC